ATTTCCGAAAGCGTATTTATAAGTACTTTTGCAGATAGAACAAAAGCTCACGGCCAAATTTGAAGACCCGGCTGCTTGAGTGACATCCATATAGTTTTGACTATTTAATTCTTCGATGTAGGTTTATATATTTTTATCTGGTCCCATTCTTTCAATGTATCCATAGTGCGTGTGTAACTGCTGATAATGCCCCTATTTAGGTGTAAAGCCTATTTGGTCTTGACTTGGCTTGACTTCCTGTAGCGCTTTGGCGATAGCTAGAACCGGAGGTGTGTTGGTTCAGTCCTGTAGCAGTACTTTACACACTGACGGTGCAAAGCACATTCCGAAGAGGGCGGCGCTGCCCGTCAATCTATTCAACAGTGTTTAAATAATCAATGCATCAAACGCAAGAAGAGCTATGTTGTCCGCATACTGCAGATTTGTCAGTCGGTCGCCTGGTAGAACTTCCACTCTAGAATAGTCTGAATGAACTGAGTCATGCATGGTCATTTCGATCACAAATTTGAAGAGGAAAGAAAATGAAGGCCAACCCTAGTGAACCTCACTTGTTTTAGGGAACTCCGGCATCAATTTCCCGTAGACCCTTGCAAAACCTCGTGAATCACCGTGGAAGGAATTTAGAACGGAAAGGAGTTTAGCTGGCACGTACCTCATGGCTAGGCAAGCCGTCTTGATCAACAGAGTCGAAGGCGGCTTTCAAGACAAGGAAGACCACAATCATCGGTCACCTGTATGTATGAGGTTAACCATTGTCCTCTGCATAGCTCATAATTGGTATGACAATGACTATATCATAGTCAACTGTTAATCGCGCAGGTCCGCGGCTGTCACCCATGGCGAAGTGGCACTGGCTGTTGCCATCCTGAAGTCATGGGGGCGGAATCCGGTAGGGGTCTGCTGGGTGGCGCACCACTGACGAGACCCCAAAGGTCTGGTGATTTTCCAGATTACCTTAAGCCTGCTGATTGGGCGTGAGGATGATGAATTGGTTGAATTTTACCAAAATCCTCACTACTACTCATCATCTGTATGTCGGTCTCTGCTCTAAAAAATTGGCGGAGAGTAAATATATGGTCGATACAACCACAACCAGGGCGGGAGCCAGTCGGACTTTCAGTTATTTGGTCCTTACGAAGACCAGTAATTTGTTGACGAATGACACCTACGAGTGGTTCTGCGGCAATGGAAATAAGTTAATGTCTTGATGATCTTCGCACAAAGTACGCTGACCCCTATAGAATTTGAGCACAATAGTTGATAGTCGCCAGTCTGAAGGCACTTCTTCAATGTCCCAAAGCAAGTCCAGTCAACAGAATGTCACCATCCTTTTTCATTAAGGATGGAGAATATCATCGGGTCTAGGAGCATTGTTTCGTTTCAACAAGGCGAGCGCATAGCGAATCACTTCCAGTGTGGGTGAAGCGATATCAACTTCGCACGTAGGCTCAGATAATTCGGCAAGCGGCAGTGTGGCAACAGGTCTGCTGAACTGCTCCTCAAATTGTTCTTTACATCGAGCTAGTCGACAAATCCGCGAATGGATCTGAAGTCCATTTCCTCAACTATTGTCTCTCTAACTGATGGCTTCCTCGGACCCGATTTTTGTATGAGCTGGAATAGGGCCCCTTTGCTCCCAATAGCGCTGGGTTTCTCTAGCTCACGGATCCTAGCAACCCATCGACGTTCCCGGTCAACTTGAAGACTCCTTAAAAGACGTCGCTTCAGAGAGTTGCGGATAAGCTGAAACTTAGTGCCCATCGGAACCCGTATACGCGTTTGGATCAAACTGATCCATGCTTCAGAGATCTTTGCAAAGTTACGATTATTTCGGGTGAAGAGTAACCGTCAGAGGCATCTTTCATGACACACTTATGACAACTCCAGCCATCGTCCGGCTCACCCACCTCATTTATCACTGACAAATAATGGATTAGTTTGTTATGATATTGTTGCACTACAAACTGCGAGTGCACGTTACAGATAAGCAGTAGTGTGGCAACTACTTTTGCCCACTGGGTCGGTGACAAGATTTGCGCCCTGACTGACCGCAGAATAGGCGCGTGAATTCCCTAAAATCGGTTAAAGGTAAAGTGCACATTAGTTTTCCAGCAAACGGATGAGCGTTTGGGACGCTGAGGGAATAATTTGAAAGTGACCATAATGGGACACGCAAGGGAAAGAACATATACAAAAGCGTGACGGATGATGCAAAGGGTTTTTTTGGTCAGTCTTGACGATAACAAACCTGCAGGCCTGATGGGCTCCATCCGTTGATCCTCAAATAACTATTGGCCATCATCTCACCTTCGGTGACAGCTATTCAACAGGTCGCTGTTCCTCGATTCATTGCCTAGCGACTGGAAATGCTCGGTGATGAAACCGATTCCGAAAGTCGGCGATCGGAGTAAGGTGGACAACTACCGGCCGACACGCGTGACCTCTGTTTTGTCTATGACACTAGAGAAGATCGTGAAGCGTAATCTTCTGCAGCATCTTGAGTCGAAAAGCATCTTGATGCCAATGCAGCATGTTTTCATGAAAATTCGGTTATGCATCACAAATCTGCTGCTGTTGAGGTACGAATGGTTGCAAGTGCTAAACCAAGAAAAATCGGTTGACGTCATTTGCATCGACTTCAATAAAGCGTTCGAAAAGGTGGACCCAGAGATCCTCCTAAGGAAGCTGAAGGTTTGGGGTGTTGGTGGCTCAGTGAACCAGTGGATCGGTGACTTCATTATTGGTCGGACGTGAAGGGTGTAGTTGGACAATCACCTGACCTAGTTGTATCCCTCGACCAGTGGCGTCCAGCAGGGCACAGTACTTGGGCTCATTTTGTTCCTGATCCACATCAGCGATTTACCTCAGCTTCTCAGTTCACCTTGCGCATTGTTTGCAGATGACCTTAAGGTATGGAGGGTAATTAGGGCCTGAGACAACTGCGACCTGCTTCAG